TAAAATGTATGCTGTAATGAAGCCCAGGCTGTTATGTGTGTTTTATTTATTAATAAAGTTTTTAAAAATACAGGTATTAGTTTGCCAGGCCAAAATTCAATTAGTGCAGTGAAGAGGGAGGAAATCATTAGTTTCTCAAATCTAACTCATTTTGCCTCATTATCCTTGTTCCATGGGTGGGTGGCTCTTCCTAGAGAAGGCAAAATTGCACTCTGCAATTTTGCTTGCCGCCTGAAACGAAAGCAAGGTAGAGAGGTCTGGAAGGTGTTTCTGCTGCAAGCCAAGCGCCTTATTGAAATGCAGAGCCCAGCCTCTCTCAAGGACAGTCGTGAGGGTGGCATGGAGAAGCAAGAGGCAGGGAGGCGCTAAGGGCAGTGGTGACATTATGCTTGTGATACCAGGGTGGGGGAGAGCTGTGGCTCAGCAGTGAAAGCACCTGCTTGGCATGCAGAAGGAAGCCGGTGAAATCCCCAGGTCTGGAAAGGACCCCTGCCTGCGACCCGGGAGACCCAGATAGGCCAAGGGCTTGTCTTGGTGGAAGGCAGGGCTTTTTCAGCCGTAACTCAATGGAACTCAGTTCCGGCACCTCTCAGGTGAGCACCATTGCCATTGTAAGAAAACAAGGGAGGCACTAATGGTGAATTCCAACACCTCTTTTTCTAGAAAAATAGTACTGGTGGAAGGCAACTTCATTGGGTGCTGCTACATCAGCATGTTACTTGGAAGCACGAGGACTCAAATCTTGGTCCATTTTGTGGGTGACAACCATAGCTGAATGGTATACAGAAGATGCTTTTAATGCAGAAAGGCCCCAAGGTACAATTCCCCACTGGCATCTCCAGGTAGGTAAAGGTAAAGGGACCCCTTACCATTAGGTCCAGTCGTGGCCAACTCTGGGGTTGCAGCTCTCATCTCGCTTTATTGGCCGAGGGAGCCGGTGTACAGCTTCCGGGTCATGTGGCCAGCATGACTAAGCCGCTTCTGGCGAACCAGAGCAGCGCACAGAAACGCTGTTTACCTTCCCGCCAGAGCGGTACCTATTTATCTACTTGCACTTTGATGTGCTTTCCGACTGCTAGGTTGGCAGGAGCAGGGACTGAGCAACGGGAGCTCACCCCGTTGTGGGGATTCGAACCGCCGACCTTCTGATCGGCAAGTCCTAGGCTCTGTGGTGTAACTCACAGCGCCACCCACGTCCCTGCATCTCCAGTTAGGGCTGTGTACTCTGTTCTGAAATGCTGGAGAGCTATTGCTTCCAGCCAGTGTAAGCAACACTGAGACAGAGAGATCAATGTTTGATTTCCTGTCTTCCTGTGGAGCAATGTGCTCACCTCTGGAGGTGGCAGGGGGCAGCAGGAGGCCGGGATGGGAGGGAAGGCTAGTGGCTGCTGTGTCCTCATAAGTCAGGGCGAGCTTGTGGGTGGAAAGAGCAGGCAGAAATCCTGCAACCCAGATAAATTATGCAAACGGAGGCATCTGCATGGATGCGTTTTGCAAAGTTTGGAGGACAGCGGAAGGTGCAGTGCGACAAAGCTCTGCAACTGGACCTTACCTTGGAAAAGAGTTCTGCTCACTGCACCCTCCCATCACCACAAAGCTCCCCCCATGCAGCCCCAAACACGCACTTTGTGCCAAACAGTCAGACTGCCTGCGCCCTCTCAATGTTGCATGCACACTGCTTGTTCGCAGTCACTTGGGACTAACTCCCTTATGGGATAGTTCCATGTGTATATATACTTTTGTAACCTAAGTCTGCCTTCAGGGATACAACTGTGAACTGAATGAATGTGAGTAAACGACTTTTATAAAATATACACAACAATAAAATTAAAAGAGGGACAAGAAGGGATCTTACCAGAAATCTTATATAGAGAGGTTCAGACGAACCTGCAACAAGCAAACCGCTGTGCATTTAAAGGGGAATGTTGAAACTCTGCTAAGACACAGAACTTGCTAACGCAAGTTAGGAAGGATACCATGAAACAATATATCCTATCCTGCCTCCCACAACATTCACTAACTAACTAACTAATTGACATTACATTTGGCTCTCCAGGCTAGGTCCTCCCATGGAGCCAAGAAACTTTAGAAACAAATCCCACCTGCTCCATTCCCTCCTAAGATACTAAAAATTGAATTTTTGCACAGAAAGTGCAAAAATAAAAAAGGACAGGCCCTGGTAGCAAGTTGCAGACCCGATCCACAGTCCTACACACACAGGAAGGCATGTGGCCACCTGTCCAGTTATCTGGAGCTTTGTGACCTGTTTAGGAAATGCAGTTAATAGATGCTTCACATTCTCCCACCTATGTGTGCCCCTTTTTCCTCCTTGATCAGCCACAACTTCAAGCGAAGCACCAGCCCATCTTGTATGCAAGGGTGCAGTCTCAGCATCCATGCGGTGCTGCCCTTGGGTCTGGTTCTAAAGCTCCAGTGACTGCAGAGTGCGGTGGCCAGATTTCTGGTGGGGTCACCTGGCCGACAATGTGTGGCACCCTTGTTGAGGCATCTGCACTGGCTGCCCATCTGCTACTCGGTCAGGGTCAAGGCCCTTGTATTAATTTACAAAGCCCTGGACAACTTGGGTCCAGGGGACCTAAGACCCTTATATCCCAGCTTGATCACTCAGATCATCAGCAGGAGCATCGCTGGTCCAGTTGGTGAGGCTTGTTTGACAACAAGAAACCGAGACTTTAGTCTCATCGACCCAGTCCTGTGGGACACTCTGCCACTAAGGACCCAGCTGGTCTACTCTGAGTAGGACCAGCACTGGATATAACCTAAGGCACAGAAGAGAAATTTCATTTGCCTGACCCCACTGAACCCATTTGCATCTCCTGGATTAATTACAGTTCGGAATAAAAATTTTCTTTGGATTTCACACCTATCTGAATTTTGCACTGTACTTCTCCAACTCAGAAAAAAATGTACCACAATGGATAAGAAAAAGAAGCGCACACATTTCCAGTAAAAACACATTTAGAAATATTTTTTAAAATTCTTAACGTGGATATAATTACAGATGGTTGCTGTATGAACAGAACGAAAGAACCCTGTTGGAGCCAACCAAATCACAGCAACAAAAGAAGTTGCTTTATACAGAGTCATAGGATTGGTCCATCTAGTTCAGTATTGTCTGCACTGACTGGCAGCAGCTCTCCAGGGTTTCAGGCTGAGAGTCTCTTCCAGGCTTACCTGGAGGTGCCACAGGGAACTGAACCTCAGACCTTCTGCACACCAAGCAGTTGCTCCGCCACTGAGGCACTGCCCTACTCTCAAGCAAGCACCATTATGCTTGCAGGAGTGACCAGGCAGATGGCTCTGGGAAGCTGCCAAGCAGGGCAGCTGGGATAGCTCACTCAATAGAGCATGAGATACTTAATCTCAGGGCCATGGGTTCGAACCCCACAATGGACAAAGTATTCCTGTATTGCAGAGGGGTGGACCAACCTTCAGGATCTCTTCCAACTCTACAATTCTATGGTTCTGTGAAAGCAGCAGCAGCCCCACCCTTAGGTTCTGAGGCAGACTGCCTCTGACTATGGAGGCTCCACTCCCAACTGGTGTGACAGGTCAGCCCCATCGGCCTGCTCCCACCTCACCTGTCATCTGGGGGGCAGCCATTCTATGAAACTGCCTTACAGGGGCAGGTGGGAAGCAGAAGAGCTCACTCCACCAGCTTTGCCGAAACCCCAGCTACACCAGCCCCTGAACTGTGCCAGGTGGTTATGATAGGAATCTGTGCCTGGGTTTTTCTTTTTCCTTTTCCCTCCCTGCAGCTTACCCCTTGTGTGCTACAGTCTTCTTCTTTTTTTAAAAGGGAAATGTGCAAGTCTGCGAGGGCAGGGACTGCCTCATTCTGATTTTATGCAAGCCGCCCTGGCAGGCTTTTTGGATGGAAAGCGGGGTACAACACACCCCCCCGGCGATAAAACAAGCCAATACATAAGTGATTGTCATGGCTCAAAATGAACATAAAAGCAACCCTGTTGGGTCAGGCCAAAAGTCTGCCAAGTCCAACCTCCCGTTTCCCACAGGGGTCAAACTCTCAGGAGTGCACACCCACCCACCCACTCCGAAAGCAGGACATCCAGCCAGCAGCCTTCCTGGGTGTCAACGGGTGCGCCTTACCTCGAAGCAGAAATCCTGCCCCCAGGATGCTGCTATGAACAGGCTTAATGACCACTTCTTCCTCCATGCTGAGATCCAGGGCCTCCACAGCGCTACTTGGACTGAGCAGTGACTCGTGGGAGCGAGATTCCTTCAGCCTGGGCATTAGATGGGATCTGGAGGGAGAGGAAGGCAAGAACAGTGAGGATCAGAGCCACACCCTTCCAGCACCACGGAAAGGACCAAGCACCGCTTTTCACGATAGCCCTTGAAAAAAGAAGTGTCAGATTGGACCAACAGCACACCTGGATTGTATTTAGGAATGTAACAACCTGTCTCACTATTTATTTATCAAATTTCTATGCCGCCCATCATCCGAGGGTCAGTTTACAATACCAAGACACAAAAACACGTACATTGTACCTGGTCAGACCATTGGCCCCATCCTGCTCAGTATTGTTTACCCCAGGCTTCCTCAATCTCAGTCCTCCAGATGTTTTGAGACTACAGTTCCCAGCATCCCTGACCACTGGTCCTGCTAACTAGGGATGATGGGAGTTGTAGGCCAAAAACATCTGGAGGGCCGAGGTTGAGGAAGCCTGCTTTACACTGATGGGCAGTAGCTCAATATTGTCCACCAGGCTCTCCTGGATATCTGGCCCCACCTGGAGAGGTTAGCGGGGCTCAAACCGGCGACCTTCCCTGATCTACAGCCCTTCCCATCCATACAGGTCCCCAAAGTAGCTCACAAGCGTAAAAAAACAAGGTAAAACAATAGGATTGGGTTAAAAACCAATAAGGAAGAGCAATAAGCCATCAGCACCATTGTAAACCAAGACTCTGAGGATCAGAGATTTTAAATAGAATAGAGATTTTAAATAGAAGCCTGCTAACACATTAAATAGAAGCCTGCTAACTCAACAACTTTGGTTGGTTCTTTGGTCGGCCCTCACGGCCCTTCACTTCACCAAATCTGGCCCTCTTTGAAAAAAAGTTTGGACACCACTGTATCTAATGAAACATGTTGGCTATACAGTGGACGCTTGGGCTACGGATGTGATCCGTGCGGGATTCGCAACCCGCAGCAGCGCGTCTGCGCACACACGGGTTGCAATTTGACTGTGCATGCACAAAGTGCAATTTAGCGCTTCTGCGCATGCAAGACCACCAAAACCCGGAAGTAACCTGTTCCGGTACTTTCGGGTTTTGGCGGGTGCGTAACCTGAAAAAACGCAAGCTGAAGTGGGTGTAACCCGAGGCATGACTGTATTAAGGGCTTGAGAGAGCACCTTCTCTCTTTGGAAGCCGAAGCAGGAGGGGCTGCCAAACACAGTTGGTGGGGCTGTGTGGGGCTTGGTAGGTCACAAGCTAGGGTGGCTCGCGGTGCACCCTTGCATTTAAGCATTAGCCAGGTAGCCACAGGTAACCCAGAATTGCATATGTGCAGGTGAGTGAGCACACAGAGAAGGGAAGAGCACTATGTCCTCTCTGGCAGCAGGAAGGTGTGTGTGCTCCACTGGGCTAGCAAACATGTTTGCAGGCTACTAACCTTCTTGGGCTCATGGTCAAGGCTGACTGAATGGGATCTTGCGAGATCAAGCAGGGAATTCAGGGAAAGGAAAGGCAGATTTGAGAGGACTGGCAACAGCTGGTAGAAACTCCCTCCAGAAAGAGGTGTGTCAGGCACCTTGATTATTCGGCTTCCGGCAAATGCCTTTTGACACATGAGGAGTGCATATTTTTTAGAACACACCTTATTTTTTGTGATTGTAGGCTGTTTTAAACAGTTTCTAATGCTGTGTTTTAGTGCTACAACCTGCCCCGTGACCTTAAGATAAAGTGCGGGTAATTAATAATGATAATAATTTTACATTCCTGGGTTTGAATGAAAATCCGCTGAAGATTGTTGTGTGATCCTTTCCCGCCCACAGACAAGGAAAGGAAGCCGGCTCCAGAACATTTCCCGCCCCTCATTTCTTTGGACAATGATGGGAATAATTTTAAGTCAGCCACAACAATGCAGCAAGGACAGAATGGGCATTGTTGAGGTCCCAGAGCAGCTTAAAAGAAAACAAATACTCGGGGTGTCTTGGAAAAGAGCAAAGACGCAGGATAAATGAAAACCTCCCTGCAGATAGTGACAAAAGCCAGTGTAGATTTTCACAACCATCTGTCTCCCCCCTCATCCCTCCCTTGGATCATTGGAATGGGTTGTAAACTTGAAATTAGGGCTCCGGGGATGATGCAGGAAGTTGAAGGCACCCCATAAGGAGGAAGGGAACACCTGGCAAGAACAGAACTTTATGGAAAAGCCATAACTCAGTGGTGGAACACCTGTTTTGCATGCAGAAGGTCCCATACACACAAAATTAATACGCCAAGTACCATCATCACATCTGCGTTCCTATTTTCTTATTCCCCAAATGTCTATTCTATTCTATTCTATTCTATTCTATTCTATTCTATTCTATTCTATTCTAATTCTAATTCTATTGCATTCCATTTCCACCCCACCTTTTTTCTGAAGCTGGCATATGTTAGGTAAAGGTAAAGGTAAAGGGACCCCTGACCATTAGGTCCAGTTGTGACCGACTCTGGGGTTGCGGGGCTCATCTCGCTTTATTGGCCAAGGAGCTGGTTTTGTCCGCAGACAGCTTCCAGGTCATGTGGCCAGCATGACTAAGCCGCTTCTGGCGAACCAAAGCAGCGCACGGAAACGCCGTTTACCTTCCAGCCAGAGCGGTATCTATTTATCTCCTTGCACTTTGATGTGCTTTCGAACTGCTAGGTTGGCAGGAGCAGGGACCGAGCAACGGGAACTCACCCCGTCGCAGGGATTCGAACCACTGACCTTCTGATCAGCAAGTCCTAGGCTCTGTGGTTTAACCCACAGCGCCACCCGCGTCCCTATATGTTAGGTACTTCCTCTCATTTAATCCCCACGGCAACCCTGTGAGGTAGCTTAGGCTGAGAGGCAGCGACTGGCCCCCGAGGCCCTACAGTCAGCTTCACGGCTGAGTGGAGATTTGAACCCTTGTCTCCCAGGTCCTAATCCAATGCTCTAACCACTATGCCACACTGGATCTCTCTTCCAGATGGGAAACCCTTTCAATAAGACCACATGCATCAAAAAAGAAGAAGGGAGCATAGCGTTTTTTGCTTCCAGACAATTGGCTGCGCCCAGATACAAACTGCACCAGCTAATTAAATCAATCCATTGCCTTTTTTTTAATAATAAGGGTTCCCATCACACATCAATGTCCTTGGCACTTGCAAAGTATAGAACAGGTCTCTGCTGAAAGGGATTTACAATCCAGAAACTGATGTGGGGACACAATGGAAACTGAAAAAGCATGGAGGCTTGGGATGTTGTGTTGTGTGGAGGGAGAGGCAGAAGAAGGTTCTGCGTCTATAGAAGTCCCAAGTTCTTAGGTTGGGCTAAAGTATGGCTCTCCTAGGGTGAAACCGGGCAACGCTTCTTCATCAGATGATGCAACTCTATTATTTAAACTGGGTACTGAGCAATCATTAAATGTTATCATTATTATTAATTGCATTTATATCCCACCTTTTCCCCTCCAAGGAGCTCAAGGCAGCTACATGGTCCTCCCCCCTCCCCAGTTTAATTCTCACAACCACCCTGCGAGGTAGGCTGGGCTGAGAAGCCAGCTCAAGGTCACACCCAGAGAACTTCATGGCCCAACAGAGATTTGAACCCTGGTCTCCCATGTCCTACTCAGAAATGCTAACCACTACACCATTCTGGATTGCAACACCTCTCTATTGTACACGCAGAAGGGAAAGGAGATAGCTTTGTGTGTGGAGGGTCCCCCCCCCCCATTCCATTCTCAGCAAGTCTGGGGAAGGGCTGGCAAAGACCAACCTACCTGAAATTCCCTGGAAGGCTACAGCTCAGTGGCAGAGCCCATGCTTTGCCCACAGAAGGTCCCAGGACCCAATTTCTAAAATCCCCTGCCTGAAAAACCCCAGGGAACATCTGCTGTTAGTGTCCGTGCAGGCAGCTACCAACACTCCAAAAGGCCGTTGCAGGAGAGGCGCAAAGGGGTTAAGCTTTTGAGGATGCTGCTTTCTCCGGAACAGAGATCAGTCCTGTCCCCCCCTCCCCTCCCCAAGCCTCACCAAAAAGGACTTCCATCGCTGCCCCATCACCGCCTCGCAGCTGTGGCCTGGCATGGAACATCTGCTGCGGGAGAAGTCAGGCGAGAGCTGGGCACCTCCTATTCTGTGCTGAAAAAGCTTGAGAAAAGGGAAAACTGAACGGGGGTGGGGGGCGTCTCTCCCATTGCTCCCAACCACCTGGTTCCCCCCTCCTCGCCCATCCCACCTCCTTTCCCCTCCTCTGGCCCCCGCTCAGCATCGCCAAAGCAGCAGAGGCACACAAACACACACTGTGAGCTTTGAGCTTGATCTGGCTCCCGCGGCTGCTGATTGGCTGCTCTGTAGCTGGGGAAGGGAGCCACAGCTGCCGAAAATGTCAACATCCGTGCGCCTGTGAGCAAGCAAATGAGCACCCGCTGCGCACTGTGAGGAACGTGGAGGAGCGGTGCCATGGACCCCGCAGTTCAGGGCCTGGGACAAGTGGTGAGGTGGTGTCAGATTGGTGGTCCAAAGAGATCTCCCCAAAAGCAGAGAGATGTAAGAAGAGCCTGGTTGCTGAATCATGCCCGTGGCGCACCTCGCCCAGGATCCTGTTCTCACAATGGCCAACCAGATCATCCAGATGTAAACTTAGGACCACCAAAGAGTCGTCCTGTCTGACCCCTGCGATGCAGGAGTCACAGATAAGGAATCACTAACAGGAGGCCACCCAACCTTCGTGTCAAAACCTCCAGTACGTTTCCGAGCACAATTCAAAGTGTTGGTGCTGACCTTTAGAGCCCTAAACGGCCTTGGTCCTGTATACCTAAAGGAGCGTCTCCACCCCCATCGTTCTGCCCGGACACTGAGGTCCAGCTCCGAGGGCCTTCTGGCGGTTCCCTCCCTGCGAGAAGCCAAGTTACAGGAAACCAGGCAGAGGGCCTTCTCTGTAGTGGCACCCGCCCTGTGGAACACCCTCCCACCAGATGTCAAAGAGAAGAAGAACTACCTGATATTTAGAAGACATCTGAAGGCAGCCCTGTTTAGGGAAGCTTTTAATGTTTGATGCATTGCTGTA